TAAACTAAACCTCAAACCACAAAAACATTGTGACTAACATTAAAAAGGCAAGCTGTTAAGATACTCAAAGCTTAAAAAGGACAAATTGCACATGGTTAAGATGGGACATCATTTGACAAGGGCTGGTGTTGTGCATATGGCTGCTTTTTTTTATAAGAAGGCCACCGGCAAACAGGGCAACAATGTCGGCCCCCAGCCAACCACATCACAATGCAATTCTGATGAAACACATGACCACAAGGCAACCCCATTAACAAACATCCATTTTCAAAATTCTCTAGGCAAACAACACATTCAGTACAGTGCAGCATATCAGCAGGCCAAATTAACCAATCAGGTTCCATATCCTCGTTAGTGTTATATGATCCATATGACCTCCCTTTCCTTTCATATGGGCTGGTCTGACAATATTTATTGGCACATGAACAAGCCTCAGCATCACAGTGACTTGCTCTTCCTGGAGAATTGTGAAATACGCTTTGCTTATCTTCAAATACTTCCTTCTCACTGCTAAAAGTGTCTGTGTTCTCATTTTCTGAGTCATTTTCAGTATCTTGAGACCCCTCTGACATTTCCTCTTCAGACTGGATTCCAAGACATTTAAATCGCCACATGGGTAAATTTTTAATATAATCAGTTGGTATTAGAGGGTGAAGCCAAAGGTCAGGGAAAGCTAAGCGCTCCAAGAATAAGTCAGGGTCTTCGTCCCAATCAGATTCTACAGGAAAGTTCTGAAAAGAAGCAATTGGGTGGAAGAGGTAGCTGGTGTACCAGTCCCACAGACTTGATAGCCATTCTAAGTTATTGGCATTGACTTCGTCATTATTGTTGTTGCGCCTTCTCTTCTTTTCAAAGTAATCAATTAGTAAACCATGTCCAAGGTATGTACTGAGAAACAGGGCTGGGTGTGAAGAGTAAAACATCCAGTCTGCCCTTACCCACGAAGCCAGTGTGGTTGTATTGGAATATCTCAACAATTTTAAGCTATATTCATAAAAGCTATCTAAGTAAGGTAGCTGTAAAAAGCCCAACACAGGTAGCCAGGAAATAATTAATAGAGAATTATATGTCCCTAAAGTGCTTATGAGAACCACAAATCGCTTTATAGTAGCTCCTTGTGTAATAAATAAGTCCATCCAAGCCATAAGATTAACTAGAACCAAGCTTAAAACAAACAGATCATTTACCTCAGGTTGTAATGAGCGCAGAAATGAATCCATGGCCTGAAGTGATATAAATTCACCTGTGTGGTTTCCATATCTGTAAATTCCTTCAGGAGTTCTAAGTATGTATGATGGCATATTATATATGCCAATATCTGTCATATAACTCTTGTTGTCCCAATTTTCTACATTAACAAAAATAAACTCAACTCTTCCAGTAAACTTTATACTTAGTGCAGAGAAGAAAGCTGGGGGTTGGTCAAGGTTTGCAAACAGGTATATTTTTAACCAATATTGATCACTTTTATTCCATTCTTCTTTCAAATGTTCAGCATTATAAATGGTTTTGATCCGAGAAGCTGCATGAGCAGTTATCCATTTAAAAATGTGCTCTACTTCAGTCTTGCGTCCACTGTACTCTTTAAGCATGACCTTCCCTTTTGAAGTACTTGTTTGTGGAACAGACATAATGAGTGTGGATCGTACCCAGCCTCTTCTCCTGCAATATCTATAAGAGAGGAAACTGTGAGTAAACAGCTAGGCTGTAGTGCAAACAATTTATCTTCCCTGATACATTTATTTAGCACCTCTCACCCAAACCGAATAATTTCCAAATAATCAAAGTGGTACCATTACTTAGTGGCTGTGAAAAGCAAGCTGTTTTTGTAGTTTGTTTGCTTTGTATTTCTGTGTTTCTTTCTTTTTAAAAGATAAAGTGTATCTTGAAAAGTCTCCAAGTCAAAGGAATCAGCAAATACTTCAGCATCTCTTATTTACCTACAACTGCATTATATGCTAAAATCCAGAGGATAATAAGAAAATAATTCATGCTCAGAAGGAATTTAAAATCCTATTAAGGAGACAAAACAGACGAAACTATATATTCAGAATTTAAAATCCTATTGAGAAGATAAAACAGAGGCAAAACTGTATATATAATAATGCAAAAGAAGTTCAAAGAAGGGAATAGCATTAAGAGTGTGGGATGGTGCAGATTTCATGAATGGTTTAGGAATTGAGTTAGGTCTTCAAGGATGGTTAGAATCCAGATGGGTGGAGAAAACAGAAGAAAACAGATTATCCTAAGGCCCAGTTACTGGTTTGGTGCAAGCTCCTTAAGGGTAGAGTCATACCTACCCATTTAGTTAACAACTAACACAATGCCTGACTGCTACAAAGTAATCTGCACAAAAGCCAAACAAGAAAAGAGCAACTGCAAGCCCCATGTATTTTTGTATTCTCTTACTTCTTCAATGAAGATTATAAAGAAGAGTATTTAACACAGAGGAACAAAAACAGGAAGTATTTACATTAAGAGGTTCAGTTCAAGAATGATCCCCATTTTACAGCAGAATAAATTCAGAAGAATTTAACTAAAATTCAATCATTCGTTCAGATTTATCCAGTAGGATCATGACTCTCTTCTTTTGGAAACCTGTCTATTGATAGGTTCTTGCAAGGAGACCTGTGAAACCCATCTTCCCTTAAAAAAACTAGAGTGAAAAGAAATACTGAAAAATGAAAACAGCTGTTGTATCACAATAAAGAGATTGTAAGTGAAAATATTTTCCTTTTGTTTTTATTTTTAAGTTTTTAGTTATTTTATTTGAATAATAAGAGAAAGGGTCTTGCTCTGTCACCTAGGCTGGAGTACACTGATGCAATCATAGTTCATTGCAGTCTTGAACTCCTGGGCTCAAGCAATCCTCCTGCCTTAGCCTCCTTGGGTAGTTAGGACCACATGTGCACACCACCATGCCAGGCTAAGTTTAAAAAAAATTTTTTTTGTAGAGATGGGGTTCTCTCTACATGACATGAAGCCATGTTGCCCAGGCTGCCCATTGTTTCTAGTTTTAGTGTATTTTTTCATGTACCACACAGGAGAGTTAATCTTTTGTTTTTAAAAAGTATTTTTCCCTCAAAACCTACCATGTGAAATTTTTAAGTAAAATTTACCTCAATAAAGTTGTAAAAATGACAATCTACCACATGGATACATTTTGTTACAGATTTGTATATGAATAGTAATAAATATATGACTTCTCATTTTGCTACTCAGAATATTGATTAAAAAATCATAGATGTTATGCTTTACTTAGCATGGATTATATTTTATTAAATAAGCATATTACACATCATATGATCAGATGAAGAGAGAAAAGTCTTGACGTAGGTAGCATATGGCTTTATAATGATAATTTGACTAATTTTATCTCAGAGATTTTGTGATATAGTTTAAGATAAATGAAGACAACATGCTATGTCTTAAGACAAGGCTAGTGGTGACTCTGGAAAACTGTTTAGGTGACTCAAAATCACAGACCATGACTCTAAGCTTTTTGTTGAGTTGATTCACTTTCTTAGTAAGACAGAATCCATTAATATCATTACTGTTTTAACTGAAATGGTCTGAAAAGTATATATTCCTACAAAATAAATTCACTTCCTTAATAAGGCAGATTCCACTAATATCATTACTGTTTTAACTGAAATGGTCTGAAAAGTGTATATTCCTACAAAATAAGTATCTCCTATTCAATACAAAATAATAATTCATTGACAGGAATTCTATTTTTACCCTATCCCAAAAAAGTGACAAGTCAGATGCGTATGGACAACTGTCTTATTTATATCTTAAATATCTTTAAGTATCTTTAATGTTCTCATTGCACATGATAATTGTGATGACACATTTCAACTCTTGGCCATTCATTTTATCTTCCTACTGAGGCCTCTGATTTGTGTCATGAATTAAATCAGTCCTTCTAACAGAAAACTTACTTTGTAAAATGAACAAGTTCTTAGTGCAGACATTTATTCATATAAGAAAATGAACACATTATGTGCTCTCTTTTCAGTTCAGAGTTAATAGTTTTATCATTCCAGATAGAATAATGTTATATTACCTTATATCAATAGAAAAACTTTTATTGCCAATTCAAAAAAACTCTTTTTTTACAATCTGAATAAATTCAATGACAATACCATGAAAATTATCCTCTAGTTTTAAAACTAAACCTTTTGAGTTCTCTTAAGAGACCTTTTGGGATTTCTTAGAGAATTTTAAGATTAAAAATGATAGGAAATATGGCTTGTGAGTTTTGGTATTCCAGTTTCTGATGTGGCATGCTGTATTTAAAAACAAACTGGGCTAGGTGGCTCACACCTGTAATCCCAGCACTTTGGGAGGCCAAGGCAGGCAAATCACTTAAGGTCAGGAGTTTGAGACGAGTCTGGCCAACATGATGAAACACTGTCCCTACCAAAAATGCAAAAATCAGCTGGGCATGGTGGCACACACCTGTAATCCCAGATACTTGGAATGCTGAGACATGAGAATTGCCTGAACATGGGAAGCTGAGGTTGCAGTGAGCTGAGATCGTGCCACTGCACTCCAGCCTGGGCAACAGAATGAGACTCCATCTCAAAAAAAAAAAAAAAAAAAAAAAAAAAAGAAAGAAAGAAAGAAAAAGAAACCGTAATATTTCTGTTTTTCTGTTTATATATGCTGTTTTTTCAGACGAAGTCATTAGCTGCCTTGGCTTTCCTGGCTCTCTCTGCAATCCACCTTTTTTTCTCCTTCCCGGTTTTTTCCATAGGCTGCCATCCCTGACACTCCTGCCATAAGGCTTCCTGTCCTGCAATTCCCATGTCCTCTATCTTCTCTTTATTAGCCCGCATCTCCCCAGCCCTCTCCACACATCTATACCACCTCATCTCCTACTCTCTCAAAAAAAGAACAGAATATGAACCTCACAGGAAAAGTCCTCTGAAATCAATCTGTTGTTTAAGGAATGAGAAGAGGTAGAACCAGGCAAGGCCACTCCTGCTGGGTATATGGGGGAAGAAATTAAAGCTGCTACAACTAGACAGAGTCAGAAGCTGCTCAGAAGTGGTAGTCCTGAATGTTCCCAAGGAAGCTGCTGTGGCTTGGTTATGGTTTGTCTGTCCCCACTAAATCTCATGTTGACATTTTCTTCCCATTGTGGCAGTGTTGAGAGGTGGGGCCTGGTGGGAGGTATCTGGGTCATGGAGGTGGATCCCTCATGAATACCTGGTGCTGCTCTCAAGATAGTGAGTTCTAGCTCTGGCAAGACTGAATTAATTCTTGTGGGAATGAAGTAGTTTCTTGAGAGTGGGTTGATATAAAGCCACAGATCTTTCACATGTGCCCACTGTCCCTTTGACTTTCTCCATCATGTTCTGGCAGCACAGAACCTTCACCAGAAGCTGAGAAGATGATGGCACCATGCTTCGTGTAGAGCCTGCGGAACTGTGAGCTAAATAAATCTATTTTCTTTATAAATTACTCAGCCTCAGTATTCTTATAGAGTAACACAAACAGACTAAGGCAGGAGCTAAACAGGTCAGGAAAGTATAGCTGTACAGTGGGACTAGCACACTGAAGTCAGCTACCTAGAGGCCACCCCAGAGAAGGGACTACAGTCAAAGAATGCAGTACAGAGAGAAGAGCATAGAGTTTTGATATTTTTAAAACCCTAAAATCAAGATGATGACTCAATTACTCAAAATGTGATTAAAACACTTCCTGAATAACACTATTCTCTGCCCACTTACACCCTGCAAATTTTGAACACTCTTTTCTATATCTCTAAATTTTGTTCTTCTATATCGCCATAGTCATCAAAAGAAGAAAAAAATGACCCTGACTCGGCATAGCTTGCATGGCAAGAAAGTTCTTATTCTAGTTGGAGGACTTCCCAAATGAGGAGTCATGCACACATTATTGGAAGTGGTACAAGTCGCTGTGCAACAAAATCATTTTCTGATGAAACTGAAGATGAGTAGAAGAACTTTTAATAACAAAAACTATAGCTACAATCAACAAAAAAAGCTACTCAAAAAAATACTGCTTCAATTGTAAATAAAATTAGGATTATTTGAAGATAAAGGATTTAGAGGAAAACACCTAGAGCTAGCTTTTATGTATCTCTTCACCATCATTCCTCAGCTAATACAGAATCAGAGCTTTTCAAAAGAAAAGCTAAACAAATTTGCACTAAAAGCCACTGGACTGAATTATGACACTTCTGATGTACTTTGATTTATAAGATTACACTAAAAAATTATTCTTTCAGTTTTCATGCTTAACAGATTATTTTTATTTTGTTTTTGAATTCTTTATTATCTAATTACATATTAGAATTTAATGTGTTCAACTTTATATTTTTAAATTGTTTTTATTTGATGTTTTCTAATATATGTATAAACTATAATGTTTTGAAATATATTATTTAGTTTCATTGATTTTTTAAAAATACATTCTGAGTATCTTAAAAGAAGAAAGTGATATTAATAGTGAAGTTTGGCATAACTAAAAATACCAAAGTATCAGCTTTATCATTGGTTTTAGTATTATAACAATTGGTGAGAAAAAAAAAGACCTTTCACTTAGACTCTATTTGGGAATGATGGAATCAGATCAAATACTAAGTCTGGTAAATGAAGGCTGGAAATCAGAATGATTTCCTTTTCAAAAGGGCATTAAAACTTAAGCTATCTCACACATTTCAACAAAAGACATTGGGATATGATTAAGATTCTGTGGTTACCAGCTGGGGCAAACACAGTAAGACTTCATCTCTACCAAAAAAGAAGAAAAAAGAAAAAGAAAGGAAAGAAAGAAAGAAAGAAAGAGAGAGAGAAGAGAAAAGAAAAGAAAAGAAAAAAGAAAAGAAAAGAAAAGAAACAAAGAAAAGAAAGAAAGAGCGAGAAGCCAAGTGTGGGTGGTGCATACATAGAGTCCCAGGATACTTGAGATGCTGAGGTGGGAGGATCTCTTGAGCCCATCCATCAGCTGGAGGTTACAGTGAGCTATGATTACACTACTACACTCCAACCTGGGTCCTGGGTCACAGAGCCAAACCCTGTCTAAAAAAAAAAAAAAAAAGATGTGGTGAAGATGAGCATGAGAGCTTTGCAGGTAGATGTGAGCTAAGAGATGCCGGAACTTGCTCTTCCCGCCATCTTGGCACTTGTGGAGGCAAGAGAAGCTCCTGCTGCTGAAATTAGGAGGCCTGCTGGGAACAGGACTTATAAAAGGAACTACATCTGGAAGGCTATGGTCCAAGGCTATTTTTGCTGGCTATAAGCGGGGTCTCCGGAACCAAAGGGAGCACACAGCTCTTCTTAAAATTGAAGGTGTTTATGCCAGAGATGAAATGGAATTCTATTTGGGCAAGAGATGTGCTTATGTATACAAAGCAAAGAACAACACAGTGACTCCTGGTGGCAAACCAAACAAAACCAGAGTAATCTGGGGAAAGGTAACTCGGGCCCATGGAAACAGTGACATGGTTCGTGCCAAATTCCGAAGCAACCTTCCTGCTAAGGCCACTGGACACAGAATCTGAGTGATGCTGTACCCCTCCAGTATTTAGAACTAATGAAAAGTCAATCAATAAATGTGGATTTGTGCTCTTGTGTAAAAAAAAAAGAGAGAGAGAGAGAGAGATGCAGGAACTTCCCTCCCATTCCCAACTCTTATGGGAATATCATCGATTTCACCTTTTTACTAGTAGACAAGGATTTTGAGTAGAAGAGAAGCAAATCTGAGGCTAAGGAAAGGAAGTATAGTAATAGTTTAGGAGAGTTTTCCACAGCCAATGGATTTCACATTACAGCTAACACATAAAATAGATGTAAATGAGGCGTATCTACCTACATTAGAAACTAGCCAATATTGTAGGGTTTTGACATATATACAATATGCCTCCTCCTCCACACAAAACAAAACATGCTGTACATGCTAATCTTTCCTTAAATATTCACCAAATGGAAAACTGAATAAATGAATGAGTCTAAGTTATAATTTGGTAGCACAAGAAATGGGAAAAAAAAGGCATTTCAAATAAAAAATAATGGAATTATAAAAGAAATAATGTGACAGACTGAATACTGGAAGTGATGACAAAAAACAAAACAGACAAAAATACCTCTGTGGATTCTTATTTGAGAAAATGGGGAGAAAAACCAGTGAAGGGCAGAAAAAAGAAAAGTAGAAAGGGCACATGGTTGATTAAAGAAAAAGAGAATGAATCTGATTTCAGGTACTAGTTTTCAGGGAAAAGAATAGATTTAGGGATAGTTGCAGAACAAATGGAAATGAGCAAAAAAATGCAAACTAGAGGTCAGAATGATAGAAAAAGATTTAGATCAGAGATCTAAATCTAAATCTAAAGCCATGAATGTGCCAGATCTCTTTGGAAAATAAAGTTGAAAGGACTAAAGACACAGTCTTAAGAGATATCTTCAGTAGACAGAACACAGAAGAGCCAGAGAAAGGGACAGGGAGAGACAGGGAGATAAAGCACACAGAGAAAGATCTTAGAGTGAAAGTCATTAACTGCCAGTTTATCAAAAGCTATTAATCAAGCAACTGTGAGGCCAGGTGTGGTGGCTCACGTCCATAATCCCAGCACTTTTGGAGGCCGGAGCAGGTGGATGACCATCCTGGCCAACATGGTAAAACCCCGTCTCTACTAAAATACAAAAAATTAGCCGGGCGTGGTGGCATGTGCCTGTAATCCCAGCTACTCGGGAGGCTAAGGCAGGGGAATCGCTTGAACCCATGAGGTGGAGGTTGCAGTGAGCTGAGATCGAACCACTGCACTCCAGCCTGGGCGACGGAATCTATCTCAAAAAAAAAAAAAAAATCAAGCACCTGTGTAACTAACAGTGTGCTAAGCATTATCATAAGCTTTCAGTTCAAGCAGGCTTCTAATATTATTGTCGTTTTTAAACAAGAAAGGCCCTGGTCAGGACTCAAATTCTAAGAATTGCCTAATCAACATACCTGGGATCACTGGAACAGTTAAATGTGCCTGTACGTATTCCAAATCTTGATACCTTTTTTACCATTTTCTCCCAGTGAATTTTGCCCACCAAGGGACTTCTGTCATTTGCTATGACCTATACCCAAAAAAAGAGAAAAGAAACTTGAATCACCTAAAATAGTCAAATCAACCATTTGTATCAACAATGTAATTTCATTAAAAAAAAAGAAGATACTATTCCCAGTTCTTATTTACTGTATCATCATATTATCATTACAATTCTTATAGAAGGAGCAATATCCAATAGGAAAAAGACTTAAAACACTGAAAAGTATATTAAACTCTCCCACACTCTGCGGCAGTTACAAAAAGGAGGAGGGAGTCAAAATTGTATTAAAAAGCTAGCCACAGGCGGTGGCTCACACCTGTAATCCAGCACTTTTGGAGGCGGAGGCAGGCAGATCACGAGGTCAGGAGACTGAGACCATCCTGGCCAACATGGTCAAACCCTGTCTCTACTAAAAATACAAAAATTAGCTAGGCAAGGTAGCACCTGCCTAGCTACTCAAAAGGCTGAGACAGGAGAAATGCTTCAAACAGGAGTTGGAGGTTGCAGTGAGCCAAGATCACACCACTGCACTCCAGCCTGGGCAAAAAGAATGAAACTCTGTCTCAAAAGAAAAGTTAGCCACATTCTCCACCACATGGCTTCTTCTCTCTAATTAAGTTACACAGGAGGAAATTGGCCCTTGGAATAATTTCTCTTTGCTCTGAAAAGAAAGTTTTAAATAATAATCCAAATAAAGCTTACTAAAAATTATCACATGTAGATTCAACAAGTTCAAATTTCACTTTTTAAAAAATATAATTATGCAGCCAAGAGTCAAACACATGTTTTCTATTAAAGGATGCTTTGACTAAATCAATAAATACTACCACTTCTACGGCTTTTTGCTTAACAATCATGAATGGCTCTAACATACAAGAATTACCATAATGAATTTTACATAACTTGTACTTCAGATTTGTAAGAGCTTTCAAACACAGTTAGGATTAGGAAAAAAAAAAAGTTTTTTTTTTTTTTTTTTTTTTTTTTTTTTGAGACAGGAGTCTCGCTCTGTTGCCCAGGCTGGAGTGCAGTGGTGTGATCTCAGCTCACTGCAACCTCTGCTTCCCAGGTTCAAGTGATTCTCCTGCCTCAGCCTCCCAAGTAGCTGGGACTACAGGCGCCTGCCACCAATTTTTTCCCATCTAATTTTGTATTTTTAGTAGAGATGGGGTTTCACCATATTGGCTGGTCTCGAACTCCTGACCTTGTGATCCACCTGCCTTGGCCTCCCAAAGTGCTGGGATTACAGGCGTGAGCCACCAGGCCTGGCTAGAAAAAGATTGTTAAGAAAAGAAAAAGAGTCCAGGTGTGGTGTCTCATCCTGTAATCCCAACATGTTGGAGGGCTGAGGCAGGTGGGTCACTGAGGCCAAGAGTTCAAGACCAGCCTGGCCAACATGGCAAAACCCTGTCTCTACCAGAAATACAAAAATTAGCCAGGTGCGGTGGCAGGCACCTGTAGTCCCAGCTACTCAGGAGGCTGAGGAATCAGAATCACCTGAACCTGGGAGGTGGAGATTGTAGTGAGTTGAGATTGTGCCACTGCACTCCAGCCTGAGAGATAGAGCAAGACTCTTAAAAAATATATAGATACAAACATAGACAAAATATGTCATGACTTCTCTTATTTATAAATGTCAGCCTTTCTAATCATTAACACCTTTTCCCTTTATTTCCTAATCTTCCTGCCTTTAATTAAGGCAGAATTTCAATGCAGATACCAGTAAAAACCAAAAAACATTAAAAGCAGAACCATAAAAATAACTAAATGGGAAGTTAAAGGAAAGCCAAAAATGTCTAAAGTCATCATGAAACCATCTGTTTAAGTCCAGGGTATACAGGCCAAGTTTATTTTCATAAATGTTATATTACTGATACTATACAATTCAAAATTACAGCATTATACTCTGGGGGACTCTAATCTTTCTAGGAGGAAGGACCATTTTCATAATCACAAAGCCTCCAGGAAGTGAAGTTCCAGGTGGGTGTGTAAAATGAGTGCTGACAGTTGACTCCTTGGGAGAGGCAAGAGGTGGTGCAGCCACCTGATCTGTGGCCACTCTGCTAGAACATCTAGCAAATGTCAGAGGGCAGCAGAAGAGACAGCACATGGTGATGACAAGTGACTGGAAGTTCACTTTATGTGCCAAGTAACCCCTATGACATTCCACTACTGTCCTCATACTTACAGAGACACACATGGATATATAACATCTTATCACTTAACTTTGAAGCTTAATGAATATACATACACAATTTAGGGCATTAAGCAAATGGTTTCGATATTACTTTTTTTTGTTAAGAGACAGGGTCTTACTCTGTTCCCAGGCTGAAGTGCAGTGGCTCAATTATGGCTCACTGCAGCCTCAAACACCTGGCCTCAAGTGATCCTCTCTCCTGAGCCTCCCAATTGTTGGAATTACAGGCATGAATCATTGTGCCCAGCAATGGTTTTGATAGCACTTTTTAATTAAAACAAGTGGTCTTATTGAGACAGATACAATTTATTCAAATACTCAGATAGTTGAAGTAACCAGGAAGAAGGCAATTTGGGGACATACTTAATAGGTGAAAGCTCTTTTTTTTTTTTTTTTTTTTTTTTTTTTTGAGACGGAGTTTCGCTCGTTACCCAGGCTGGAGTGCAATGGCGCGATCTCAGCTCACCGCAACCTCCGCCTCCTGGGTTCAGGCAATTCTCCTGCCTCAGCCTCCTGAGTAGCTGAGATTACAGGCATGCGCCACCATGCCCAGCTAATTTTTTGTATTTTTAGTAGAGACGGGGTTTCACCATGTTGACCAGGATGGTCTTGATCTCTTGACCTCGTGATCCACCCGCCTCAGCCTCCCAAAGTGCTGAGATTACAGGCTTGAGCCACCGTGCCCGGCTGGTGAAAGCTCTTTTGAAAGATGCTCACACCAGTTACTCTACCCAGTAAGTCTCTAGCTTTTACATTTTTCTGTGGTCCACAAGTACTTTATAAGTTTTACCTAGAAGGCCGGGCACAGTGGCTTATACCTTTAATCCCAGCACTTTGGGAGGCTGAGGTGGGTGGATTACTTGTGGTCAGGAGTTAGAGACATGCCTGGCCAAAATGGTGAAACCCTGTCTCGATTAAAAAAACGAAAGTTAGCTGGGTGTGGTGGCGCACACCTATAATCCCAGCTACTTGGGAGACTGAGGCATGAGAATCACTTGAACCTGGGAAGCAGAGGTTGCAGTGAGCTGAGATTGTGCCACTGCACTCCACCCTGGGCAACAGAGCAAGACACTGTATCAAAAAAGTTTTACCTAGAAAATCAGGAAGATCAAACAAAGCAGGCTACTGCTGCCTCTTCTTTTTTTTTAATTTTTTATTTTTGTTGCTACCACTCAAGAGTCAATCTGGTAGTTCTTTTGGTCAACTAATTAAAGAAATGTTTAACTTATTTTTCAGATTACTCAGGAAGATTAAGAAGTGTCTGTGCAATCATACTACCATACTCTCTACTCTTTGTTC